ACACACACACAGGCACACACCTGCCCACCCTTCCCTCTTCACAAACCCATCCATGCCCAGATTCACGAGCACCCCACCCACAGGGTCACGATATGTAAAACAAAAGTAGCGACAATTAATGCATTATCACCTGTCAGGTCAAGGTTAATTTGAAGGCTTATGACATCCTTTGTGTTGTATTTTTTTCTCTCTGTCTCACTGGCATTGAAGTTTCAACAAGGTCAACAGACAGTCTGCTGATTCGACATTCCGCCGATAGCTGTTAGTTTTTCAAACGAACTGACTTGCATTTTGTCACTAATTCCATTTTCTCTTTAACTTGAGTACCAAATGTATGTGGTTGGCGGGTGCTTTGGAGTGGTTTGCTCCTTCTTTTCTATCAAACATCCATCCATCATCATTATCTCTCTTCCTTCAGTTCTGTGTAAGTATTTTTCTAATAATACTTTTAATCTACGGCACTGATATAACTTTATCGTGTTGCAAGTGCCGTAAAACTCTTATTAAAAACTGTAGCACCGATAGATGTTGGGTCACGCCCTACCACATCACATTCGGTGACACGACCACACGCACGCTAGGGGAGGGCAAGAGTCGCTTTAACAAAATCCGGAAAATAGTATTGTTAGTGCACGTCCTCGATCGACGTACTGAAAAGTGGGAAGACATGGAAAAACATCAACAGGCTAGCCCAGGATAGAGAAAGGTCGAAGGTATTTGTCCGTGGCCTATACCTTGGTACAGGGTGAGAAAGGCGAAGATAATGACCTGCTCGACAATAATATTGTTATGAATCGTGTCAGCAAATGGGTTAGAACCACTTCGACAAGCGGGTAAGAACTACTTTAACAAATTATGGGTACACCCACTTCTGCAAACAGGTTAGGAAACAGAGTTATACGAGTCTAAATTTGGATTTAATGTTTCAATGAGAAAAGAATTATTATCCTTTTATCCGGATAGGTTAACCGGATTTGGCCCACCACTAACGCACGCCAGTCTACGTGCAGGGAGACAGTGACAGCGATGGAAACCTTGACACTCACGCGTGGAACTGTCAGTGGGAGCACTAATGATTAGGTGTGGGTGGTTGGCGGGTGCTCTGGTGTGGTTTGCTTCTTATTTCCTATCAAACATCTATCGTCCTTATCTCCCCTCCTTCTTTTTTATGTTTGTTACTCTCTTGTAACACCTCTAATCTTCTGGTGCTCATGTGACCTTATGCAGTTGCGAGCGCCGTAAAACCTCTGCTAAAACAAAATGATTAGGTAATGGGCCATCCCCCACCCCACCCCCACCTTCCTGAAAGCCTCCTCCCCC